CATGGTCGAATAATTTTTCCAGCAATCTTGCGGATATTGTTCCTTGGAACGCCTGATCGTTTTCCGTTTCAACAATTTAGATTTATCCATGACCTTGATTATGACCATTCACCGTCCGTTTGCGACGTGAATATTGTTTTGTATTGTATCGGTTGATTCATCAGTTCGGAAACTCAACCGTGTAGAAAGTCCGGTTACGGTTAATTTGCCTTAAACTCCGATGAACCTACTAGGTCAAATGGTAACGCATGATCGTAACTCACAAGCCCATTGGCCACCAACCCCACTCTCACTGAATCGTCTATGCATCTGGCTAAGAATAGTCTGTCGTTTAGTTTCGACCTTTCTCTGCCCGTGAAAAACAAGTTACGGCACTCAAGTTTTTGAAGATGGGCTAAGGAAATAATGGTAAAACGCATTTGGTCTATAGTTGACCTCGTCAGGTTTGAGTTTTCGGAAAATACGAAGAACTTAATCCTCTCTGGCGAAAATTGATCGCTTTGAGAATGTAAAGAGCGTTTTCCTTGGGCCGAATTGGTTCATGAGGGGATAGATGAGTTTAAGAAGAGAGGAATGATCACAGAGAATTTGGAAAATAATGGAAATGATTGTGGCTTCAAACTCGCTGCTTTTAATCCTTAAATCGGTTCTACAACATTTCCATAGTTGTTCATCCGTACAACGCGTACTGTCTCGTCTTTCACAATTTCTTCATGGGAGAGCGATGAAGGATCGATCCTCAGCAATTGTAGCGTTTTCATTCGGCAAAGTGGTTTACGCACGCTTCGCTAGGACCACATTTTTTGCTGAGGACGTAATTTGATCTAAGAAGGTTGTTTTCTGTCTATACTTCATAGCTAAACAAGTTGAAATATTATATCATAAGTGCTTCACAAAAGCATCCTCAGAAGAACCCTTGAGGTTCCAAATGCATATAATACAGTGAATTGACAAGTGCGCAAAAGCGAAGGACGATGTGAGCGTTGTTTTATCCTTCGCTACATATAAATGAATAACTGTGAGTAGCAGGTTCTCACTGAGCACTAATCCCCTCCTTTGACCAGTGCTATTTGCTTGTTTATCCAACCCACATGTACAACATGAACGTTTGCATGAAAAGATTGTCAATGAGCAGCTAACTTATCTCTTTTATATGCGGCATTTTTCTTTCAGGTGCGAGCTCCTACCTATTTCCAGAAATGCCGCGATCAACAATGGCATATTGCTCAACTAGAAGCGAATCAGGGTCACTATTTCTCCCAACTGGCTGAACTGAAGGACCAATTGGCGACGGAGTTGACTCGCCGTAATGGTCTCATCCCCTATCCGATTCGCAGTTCGACCCACGATAAATCGGTTGCTGAATCCGCCTCTACCGCAAACCGAACAGTCACTCCGTCTCCCACTGCGTTGGGTGCCACCGGGAACGCGCCGAGTTCTCAGTCAATGCATCAGCCAGGTGGGGATGCGAGCGAGAACATGCATGAAGCCGATCCCCGTGCACACACCCCGATTGTCTCCCACGGGACGACCGAACGACATCGAGAAAACGTGGCTGGGCCTAGTCACCAGTATCCTCACTGTACACCGCGTCAGCAGTCTGAACCAACCCCTGTTGTTGTCAGTTCATGGTCCGAGCACGGGGACGGTCAAACCCAGGGTGCCATCGGGAGAGCTTATTCGGATGCGATGATGCAACATTGTGTTGTGGATGAGACCGTTCCGGATAGTGGTCACCGGATGTTACTTCGAAGTTCATCTATCCCGAGTGGTCGTGGTCCGTTGGGAGACGAGTCAGGAACGGATAACGAAGTAAGACAGTTGACACGATTACTTACACAACACTTTTGTGTGAGTGCTAGGCCGATGTGAAGAGTCTCAGTGTTCCGACAGCAGTGTATTCTGTGTACCACAGGTCTGACTGATCTATCAGATAAGAAATATAGTGAGTGGTAAAGACACATGTCTGGAGACCTTGCCCATTCAGATCACAGCAGATAAGCGGAAAGTTCATTTGGAATAAACCCTTTTTTGGGATTTTCTCATGAATTCCATTGCCTATACTAATTTCTTCGCGTGATCTAGTGATAAGCGTTCCCTTGAGGCCCACAGTTCAGCAATTGAACCCGTTTTTCCTTTGACTGAGTCTCGCGCTTGATATCAAATCAATCCCAGCATTGATTTTATTCATTCAGTCACATAACTGAAGCAGCAAAACAGTTAACTGACAAGAAGCAAAATAAAATGCTACAACAGCTAATTCAGCCGGGTTTCCGGATCATTGAGTTTGAAATGACAGACGAACGTGACGAGATAAAGTGCGATTGGTATGCGGGATCACATGAAAATAGATGTTTGAATTGGGAACGGGTGCCTGACTCTGCTATACATTTATTTTAATCAGTGTGCATAAAATGTATGTAGGGCTTGCTGATATTTTCTCTGCAAAACGTTATTCAGATTTTGAGCGTTTGGGAAGTCTCTGTTTCGATTATCTGGGTGTGAAATAAACCATTGCACGAACATAATGAGTCTTGGGATCTCCGAAACAGTTTGAAGCTTTTTTCACAAGTATACCACGAAATATTACCGCAGAAACATAGAGCAGTGGGGTGGGTGCGGGGTTAGAACGCGAGCACATACAAATCGCTTGACGGAATGTAGAGGTGCTTAAATATGATTTAACCAGAAAATATAAAAAAAGCGTTCCTGCTAAGAAAAGTCAGTAGTCACTTGTTCACACCAAATATAATCTCGACGAAAGAAATCACGATATAACTAACGTCCGTCTGACGGGTTGTTAGCATACACGAGTGTACTAAAACAAGCATCGTCAATTTTGTTGCATCGAGTACTCTTTTACAATAAAAAAATACTTTTTTGTATTCAGTACGGTTCATAGACAAGTAGAGATTTACAAACCAATTGATAATTTAAGGTATTCCCCCGTATCTTGGAAAAAATAGAATCATCTGAATAAGGTAGCCCATAAATGACATCGTCAGCATACGTTTGAAATGAGGAGTTTGAAAACATGTAATTTAGATACGTAATACGTAATACAAAGAAAATGGAAAATGTAGAATATCTATATTTCGGTTCAGTTTTTACAATTATGCACTTTGATGCATCGGTTTTGGTTGCTGTCTTTTGGATGCCCATTTGGATGAAGGAGTAGAAGAAAGTTGACAATGAAGAATTTCAACAGACTAAGGTTACCGAGAAATTGAGAAGATGCACGAGCGCCACTGTTTACGACACTCAGCCATATCATTCATTGTCTCTAACAATTAGTTACAATGATCCTGAGGTTCCCATTCAGGGAGCCTAACTTGACCTAGGTCTCCTGAAACATCGTTGTAATTAAAGAAACAAATCCACATATATATATTACATTCCCTGTCTAATTTTTATTACCTGGCTCCATCGTTGATGTACGTAATGATTCCTACTCGACTTTTCCAGTACTCATGAGGTTGATCACTGTGGTGCGATGAAAAATCTCACAGTTTTAGAGGTTCATTGTCAACTCAACGTGTACCCGCGTCTCCTTTAAGGAAAATGAAAGCCGTTTGTGCTCACTGATGCTTTCTAAATGAATCTGAAAGATCTGATAAATTTACCATTCATTGAACGGGCATTACCGGTAAGCATAGCTTGCAAGCACACGTCTGAGATGCGTTTTCAGCAACGGGTCACTTTTCGTCCACCGTAAAAGGAAATGAACTGAACAATTCAAGCTTTTCCGGGAAGTATTTCGTAGTGGGTATGACTTTGGTTGCACGCTGACTGTTATCATTGTACCAATGGGAAATCATATGAAAAATTCCTCAGGTGATACTACAGTTAGATGGTTATACTTGCATTGTATTGTATTGTATTGCATTGTATTATGGATGACTTGTGCAGGCGACTGTGCCTATATTTCGGTCAAAAAACGTGTTCACCGTTACAATGGGATGAAAGATGAATTGAAAATTATTGTACAACAATGATAAATGATAGGTGTTCATCTTTGTAAGTTTAAAATTAGTTCGTTGCGGTTCCTCACCGTGTCAGTGAGAATACGAGCCAGATAGGGAATCGTTGACTTGCGATAAATGTTTATGCGTGAGGGTAAGCAGGGAAAATTGGATCGGGTTGAAGCGCGTGGGAACGGCAAGCAGATAAATCGGGATTGAGTGGATGACTGGGGTCATTGAGTATCTTATGAATGAAATTCTCACATGAAGTGATATGCAAACTGCACAATTTTGATAGTTACTAAACCTCAACGTAGAGTAATCAAGTCCTTTCTAAGTAGACCAGGGAAAATAACGGGTGAACAATAAAGTATAATAGGAACAATGCATTGATAAACAAAGGAACTTACAGTTTCATGCCTCACTCGAAATTGTCGTAGCTTGTGTATTTGAAAAGATAAGCAACGCAGCCTGCCAACGCAGGCTAGCACATGAGGGGACCACCGTAGATTGCTATCTATAGTAACTCCTGGGTATTTTGTGGTGTGTTCTGGTAATGGGTTAGGAATTGATGACTGAGGGTTCTAGGGGGTATTCGGATCGGGAAAGACTAAAGATGCATTCAAAGCATGTAGAAGTACTCACCCGGAAACCGGATTGGTTCGAAAATGATTGCATGTACAACAAATTGTCGGAGAATGATTCCATGTCCGATTGGTTTGAGATACACGACTACATCATCAGCATACTCCGCTGCTGACACGTGTAAGTGAAACTACTTTATACGGCTCTACTTTTGTTGTCAATTACGTGATTACTAGTATGATATGCTGTTTCGAACAATCCGTATTTGTTTTCACATTTATGAGTGCCAACTTTGTCGCGCAGCAACATTTATTGTGTACGCACATACTTCAGAATGAATAGTAGTATCTAAACAGTAGCATTGAATTTCCATGGCTGCACCAAATCGGTTTTGCGATTGACGGTGTTCATCAAGTTTTTGCATCTGATATTCTGTTATCAAATCATTTTCACAACTGTGCTCCGGATGAGTGAATTGTCTGGTAATTCTCATTTGAATCTCTGGCATTTAATTTCAGACGAATCATTTCGATTTGTTCCATGTAAACTTTTCCAATACTAGTTATTATATATCATCGTACATTTGTCTTTGTATCGAGTTCATTTGAGACAACCAACACATTGTATCCAACCCTTTTTCACCTCAACCCTGCAGGCTGATCTCAATCTTTTGTGCCGGCGATCGACAGATTACCCGGGTGAATCACTGTCCGAGCCACTGTTGCTCAATCTGCTCTGTTCCATGCCTCATCGGACCCCACGTTCTGTATTATCCAGTGTCGAACTCAGCCCGCTCACTCGATCCTATCAAAGTGATCCGGATTCCGGTCGGGATTTGATAAGTCTAGTTCGAGCAAGACTTGGTGGTTACGGTGACCGATCGGGTCGAAGGTATCATCGTTCGCCATCTGTCGGGCAGACCTCTACCCATTCGCCAGATTTGAGAGGCCGAGAGGGAGACGAAGACGAAGAGGAACTGGAGGAAGAAGATGATGAAATAGAGGACGGCGAGGTACGTTCTGTACATCGATCTAGTGAACGCGAATCACGTCAATCCAGACCCGGTCTGGCATCGGCAGATGTAACCGGTGATGAAGATGACGAGGTGGGAGAAGAAGAGGGTGAAGATGCGGACGATGCGGATGATGATGACGACGATGAAAATGAGGGAGATGATGTTGCGGCAGATACTGATTCGATTCTGTTAGGGGTGGATCGCCAAAATGGGCAGGGCTCAGCAGCTCGTCGCGATGAAGAACCGTNAAGGTGATCTCGGCAGTCATGATGAAGAGGATGAAGATAGTGATGAAGATTTGGCTCGTTTAACTCATGAGGACACAGATTACTGTGATCTAGTCGACCAGCGCCGTTACGATCTCTCATCCTCGCGGTCAGAGAATCTCTCGGAACACGGTCACGGACGACGTTCTGTATCTGTTAATCTGGTTCGTCTGTCCAGCATTGTCGAAAAAAGTGCAGAAGGTGGCAGCTCTTCTAGTGCAAGACAAAAGAATGACCACGATAATGTTTCCAAAAGCAATGTGAGTGGTAGCTGTGCAACCAATCGCATGGATTTGGATGCCGTAGGTCGGGGTGAATCTTTGAGCTTGTTAGAGGATCTGTTAAGTTTACCCACCCCACGCGCCCGTCCATTGGGACATGCCCGGATCCAGGTTGATCATTTGCTTCGTCGACGTGATAAAACTCGTGATCGAATTCCTTCCCGATTCAAATGGAATCATCGAATCACTACTCGACTCACTTCTCCACGCGTCCAACCGAACAGTCCAGCCAGTCCGTCTCGAATACCTCATGGAAATAGCACAGTCGACCCCCAGCAGTCAGATTCCGTGCACACAGGTGTTTCCCCAAATCGTCCGACCCTGACAGAGGAGGATAGTTCCCGTGACGGAAATGATGCCATTAATTCTGTCCACGGGGATCAATCAAATGATGATTACGAGGCTTTGTGTCGTTTGCAAGATGCTCTTCGCACCAGTCCCAGTTCTTGTCGTATGTTTCGCGGTACTAGTTGGTCGTGGCAAGGCTCCAATTCCGGATACCCTGGATCCAAATTGTAAGCCTTGTTTTATCGAGTTATTTTAGCAACCACAATCATTTTCGGTACGACGGACATTCGTTGTGTGCCTCGTTCTTTTAACCCCAAAACTATTTTCTGGTATGTAATATTTGGTTTTCAACTTTAGCGCTTTTTCTGCGTGATGCAATCAGGTGCCAGATAGGGAAAATATCCAAACTGGCTCTACGGACCAGTTTATTCCTCACTATGTGCACATATACCGCCAAGTCCCGATAGAACCGTGCTGAGTGAGACGATCGCATTTGATCGCTGCCGGATGAAATCCATCACTTCGAAATACAGTAGATGGTGAGCGTTTTGTCAATTATTTATCGATCACTTGAAGCCGTCTACTGAAGTTTTGTCCGAATGACCTCATGTGAGCAATTTTTCCCAATTGCTAGATAGTTGTGAATGGAAAGTAAAAGGAGTAGATCCCATTGTTATAATTCCAAAAGCCCAGTGACGGTCGAGGAGACCTGTCCACTAGAAACAACGACAGTTGTCTGGATACATTGGATTACGCAAACCGAAACGTTTCATCTGGAACAGATCAATCATAATTTCGACAAGCAAGCTAACTACTTGATGATACGGTCTATCAGTAAATATGCTTCATCTGTGGTTACGATTTTAAGCCTATATTAGTTCAAGGAGGTCTTGATCATTTTTGGCCAATCGCATCCTTGCATGCACCACAACGATGATACTCAAAATGTGAGTAGTACCTCACCGTACCATAAACAAATGATACTCTGTATCCTAGGCCGAATGTAGGAAACCTTATGCAACACAAACTATTTACTACTTCTCCACTTGAAGACCCCTATACTGTAGAAAGGATGGAGAACAGAAACCGGCAGAACTGTTACACAAATTGAGTGCTTTGGGAAAAAAGTTTGACCCCGTGTGAAAAATTCTGGGCTAGTTACCTCAGGCCTTGACCTTGACGGAAGAAGAAAAATGCATGTAGTGAGTTCGAAAACAATCGTATGTGATAATGAGGAAAAGGGTATTGGAAAGTGACAGAGGTTCCGTTATTTTTTGTTTGGACACAATAAAACTACTTATTTTAAGAACCCAAAATACCATTGTTTGAACTTTCAAAAATGAGAGGTAGTCAAGGGGTTTACGACACTCCTACATATTCTAGTTACAATAGGCATTATGAATTAGGAGTAAAACCATACCATTATCCCTATACCCTCTCGCGTTTTCAGACTATAGTTCACAATGAACCGGGACACGAATAAATGTACTCGTCATGTTCGTAATTTTTTTTATCATGCTCGCCTCCGGCCATTACACTCACGTGACATCAGATGCATGCGCATTGATCACATGTATGCGACGGTGAACCGATGGATGGTTCATTGTATGTCAAAAGGTCAGCGCATGTGCGTCCAGCGTCTGGTGTCGTGCGATCATCAGTGATATGAGTGAATGCTCGAAGTGCGTTTAGACGTTGCGCCCACTGAGTGCACGATGAGGGATGCGTGGCGGTCTGATCATACTTTGTTAAATGCGCTGTTTATGTTTTGATCCGAGTCTCGAATGGGCTGTGACTGTCTGACTAATATAACCGCTCAATTCATGGACGATGTATCATTCTGAACTGAGACCTACAGTCGTGATGCAACATTTATTCCTTCGTTGTGTGCACTGTGTTACTGTATAGTTTTTATCCGAACTACGAGTGTCTGTCGTTAGGAGTTTGCAAAATCGGACCTTGCATATGAAAACACAAAGCAATGTTTATCATGATAATCTGTACAGGATTAGGGCTTTATCTGACCGGATAGATATCATCTGAGAATAATTTTTAACGCAACTCGGTCGGATAATTGCGCGCAACATCTTCGCTCAAATTTGTGATTCACTCTGTTATATTGCATGATTTCAACGCCCTTTTAGATACTTATTGGCTTACTATGCACCGAGCGTACGCAGTTAGTATTTGCCAGTGCATTCCATAATGCCAACAATTTTAAAATGCGTGCATGAGAATTAAGAATAATAAACCGATTCTTTCATGCGTCACTCACACTAATTCCATTTGCTTATTTATGTCAAACAACGTTCAAATGGAATGACCATTTTACCACTTCCTGTTTATGATTATCTAGCTTAATCCATTCGGTATGGTGTTGCTGGGGTCTATTTGAATTGTGTGTTGATCAGTTAAGATGTTCAACCGTACCGTAGAGACAGCGTCTAAGTGGCAAGATGTGTCGGCATTTCAACAAATTTAAGGCAGCTCGCCGTGGTTATTAGCAGCCACAGTATGCCATAACATCGATAAATTTGTGGCCACGTTTCTTTATTCGCTTGTTGTCTCTTTGTCTGTTCAGTTGGGTGCTTCCAATCTGTTTCGACTTGACCAAAACGTATTTACGGGGACTCAAGTCGAGTAAGCCCCGCAGATCGGCATAAGACAGCATGAAATACTAGTATAACATGGAATATGGGCTGGAGGTTAGAGCGTTTATCCATTGTACATTTTCATGCAACAGATTTATGTTGAAATTTTGGCTGGTATAATCCAGATGCGGTAATTTCAATGGGATCAGCTTCAATCGAACAATGTTTTGTGCTTTTATTCCAAGTTGGTTTGGTTTCAAAATGGCTTCTAAATTGACCATATAGCAATGAAATCTGTACATGATTTACTGTTCGGGATAGTACTACTAGGCTGATCAAAACAACAACTGTTCATTTCCTCATGAATTGGAACCCCCCAGTCTTTGGTTAATCAAAACCTGGTCCGCAAAACAGCGGGGAGATTTCGTTCACACATCCCGGTTAGTTTGTACGAATCTTCTGTCAAAGGTTTCTTTTCCCTTCATTAATCCGGAAATTGACGAAAAGAGCCAGCAGTGGAACGTTGCTCTGTACGTATTTGTTCTTGTGATTAAAAACCATCCCTGCATTAACAAGCAGATGTTGATTGATTAGTTCTAGCATCCTATTGTTTTAGATTTTCTTGTGTTATATTTATTATTGTTTTCACAGATCTCTGAGTTCAGACTGTGTGCCAAACATATCACAGTATGATAATTCCGACAAGAAATAGGTCCACGTTTTACTCGAGGGCACGATTCCGCTACGTTGCACTGGCGAAAACAGGTGAACTTTCTTAGAGTTCACAACTGGAGCCTTCGGCTAGCCGATGCTTGACTTGCAACGCATTGGGGCGAGGTGTGAAAACCGCAATCCATTGGGGGCCGGTATCCAGTTCATTGGATGGAATCTATGGTGCTCAATACACCTCGATACCGAATCGAGCTGGTGACTACTACCACAACCGGGGAAGTGTACGTGGCTCGTACGCCTCCTTTTGGTTGGTTTAGGATCAAGGTTTTTAGCCTGTTTCCCTAGATGGGTGCCAATGGTTCACCGATCCGGTTATGGTCCCCGATTTCCAGTTTTCGTTGATTTCGTTCTTGTGTTGATGCTTCGATCTTCAAAAATGCGATCAATGAACAGTCGACAGTCTAATGCTGGTCGGAGCGCTGCTCGTCATCAATGACTAGGGAAAATTGCTTTCTGACGATTTATTTCATTGAATGATATCCATGCATGCATGCAAAGCTGTAAGATCCAGAATCGCTGTCAGTCAACACATTAAAGCACAATTCGCGTTGTATTTCTTCAGCTTCGGACAACAACAACATTCACTTCGGACTTCCGTATATTCTCAGACAGCGTTATTGAAGGCTTCTTCTTTTATGAGCTTACTCATAACTTCTCCGAAACCGTTCCTTGGGAAGCGGTCAAAATTGAACGCCGTTTGCTTTACTTGAATCATGCCCACGTGAAGTGACTTGTTCACTCCGTTGGAACAACATTCAGATAGAGTCAGTGAACCAAGATTTTTTCTGTCTTTAAGAATGATCCCGACCACGATTCAGAAATCCTAATACTAATCGTCGAAATTGACGACTTTTTGCATTTCTTTTTCGTTTTTATTTTCACTTTTATTGAATATAATAACAAAGGAAGGGAGAAGCGACCAATAAGAATGTTGCCATGCGACGCATAATGGGAGCAGCCCGGGCGGTACTCGTGTGATTTGAACACACGTCCTACGGTGTGATAATTTTTGGACGTTATCACCGAGCCACGACTGGCCGTGCTAGGTGATTTGAAGAGAATGGACCCGGGCAACTCTTCCCTGCTCCCATTTGTTTCAAACCGCGGTGAGATCGAGTAGAGTGAGGTGCTCCTTTATCTTACGAGTTCTGTTGTTTTGGCGCATAGCTGTGCCTGTGCTAACTTTTGCTTTTAATCAAATCATTCTGGATACACCTTTGTGCTGTGTTGGAAAGTGCGGCTTTTAACACAGAGGAAGTTTTATGACTATGCGCTCGGATTTCTAAGCGACCTGACTTGTCAGGAAAAATGCATCCGCGTTTAGCGGCGCAGTCGACCATGGTTACCCAGTGTGTGACCAACGTGACAATATGATCGGATCAGGCCAGCAAAATCTATTCGTGTTGTCTGACACTGTCTTGTGGATTCTAACTGCATTCACGTGTGTGTGTGTGTGTGACACCGTTTTGGGCCTCTGACCGTTTCCTGTAACGACATCGGACATGGGGTTCTGTCTGGTCGATTGCGCATCGGTTGTGCGAGTCGATTAGCCTGTTTGTGTGCGTGTGTGCTTGTTCAGGGAAATGAAATCGGAAGTAAATGTGCTCTTACTGCCTGCCGTTCTCTTATCGATCCCGTATCCAAGGCTTTTGATATGATATGTGGAAATTGTGTGCAATTAATTTCCAACCCCACGTTATTCCGTCTCATGATTTTTTTCATAACATCCTAGTGTGATGATCAGTAGAAAGGATTGCACCGAGAACCGTCAATAGAAATTGAATCTTATTACCAACAGATAATTTTTGATGATGTTCATAGTTTTCTGGCTTGTAACACAAAGGATAGCTAGGGCACCCTGAGCCAACCAGTTTAATCAGAAAAAACACCAGAGCTTTCAGATCAAACGGGATTGAAACGTGATGAACCCCATTATTATAGCACTCTCTATCCATGGCAAATCAGGATTTACTTCTCCCAAATAAACAATGCGACCAAGTTTCCAATCATGCTCGATTGTCGGATTACTTCTGATTTGTCTTTTAATCCCCTTTTAAAATGATAAAACGTCAAACTTGGCCCCGTTTTGGAAGTGTTTTCTGATAAATGAAAGTCACAATTTTTTCGCAATCTCAAATAGCTTTTTCTGGTACCCTCTTACTCACGTTTGTTTCAAATTTGTTATTAGACCGACGAAATCCTCGAAGGGACTGTCAGCCGAACCTGTGCGTAGTGATCCCCGTCTGACATCCAGCTCATCATCACACACCGGTGCAACTCGTCCCGCTTGGGACCCGCGAGTAGATGATGCGGTCGGTCAGACTGTATCGCATCGGGCACAACCTGAACGAGCCACACGCTCACCTGATTCGTGGAACGTGGACGGACCACTAAGTGATCCGTTGACTGCACACGGGACCACCCAGGGTTCTGTTTTGGGTGACGGTGAGGAGGCTAACATGTCCTATGCGAATCGCATGTTCTTCCGACGTCTCAGGCGTTTATCGTCTGAATCTGTTTTGGCCAAACAAACAACGTTCGCAAATTTGGAAAATGATGTGGACGAAGAAACTATGACCGGTAAGACTGGCTTAGATGCTTGGAATGGCAATCATTTGTCTGATTACTACTCATGTGAGATTCTTATGTACCCTAATAGCTACTGAACTTCTCCTGAGTAGAAACTACCACTATCATTATATCCTAATAGCAGACTAATTAAAACGAATGCACAATGAACACTATGTTAAAAATTTCTTAAGGTCTTTGTTGTACAACAGAAATTATATCACATTTCGAACACGGGTTTTTACTACGTCGCAACTTCGTTCGTTAAAAAGCTAATCTGGTTAAATCGGAATACCACAGCCAGAGTGTGAGATAAGTGTCTCGGTCAAACTAAGACCTGGCATGAAGGTTTGAAAACCCTAACCAGGACATTGGGTCAGTTGGGTGCCGTTAGGTTCCCTGGATTGAAACCCCGAGATCATGGTCACCGATGTTTAGAGACACTGAGCGATATGGCTGGGTGTCGCAAACAGTCGCGCTCATGCATCTACTCATTATTCTTGCAACATCAGTCTATGTGCATTCTCTATCTTCGGCTTCAATTTGCTCTCAACATTCCTTTCTCCATTCTGTTCTTTAACCGAAATGGACGACCAAAAGACAGCAACCAAAAATGGCTCACAAAAGTGCATGGCTAATGGTTGTGAAAACCGGAACTGAAGTCAGTGAATGGAAGGTAAATATCCAGATCCTAAATGTTCATTGACTCGGATAGGCATCCTGGATTCTTTGACTACCCAACTGGTCATTCGGTCCTGTTGACCGTCTGTGTTTGTGCCCTAGACCGAATTTAATCCAACTGCACGCATACAAATCACACAATTAAATTGATCCTAGAACTTTTCTCTCCCATTCCGGATAATAACTGATCAACCACCTTAGCAAAAATAATGATATGTTCGAAATATATTGTATTTTGACACACTTCTGAATTCAGACTACTTCGCAAACAAATCGTAGTACAATAATCTTTATCAAAAAGAGAAAGTTCCACAATTTGTTTA